AGGCTCACCTGAGCGCCTCTGGGAAGACGAGAGGCTCACCTGAGCGCCTCTGGGAAGACGAGAGGCTCACCTGAGCGCCTCTGGGAAGACGAGAGGCTCACCTGAGCGCCTCTGGGAAGACGAGAGGCTCACCTGAGCGCCTCTGGGAAGACGAGAGGCTCACCTGAGCGCCTCTGGGAAGACGAGAGGCTCACCTGAGCGCCTCTGGGAAGACGAGAGGCTCACCTGAGCGCCTCTGGGAAGACGAGAGGCTCACCTGAGCGCCTCTGGGAAGACGAGAGGCTCACCTGAGCGCCTCTGGGAAGACGAGAGGCTCACCTGAGCGCCTCTGGGAAGACGAGAGGCTCACCTGAGCGCCTCTGGGAAGAAGGTCTCAAAGGCAAAGTCGTCGGTGGGGTCGCCCTTGAGGCCGCTGTCGCCCTTGGGCTGGAAGAAACGCAGATACGCCCAGCTGGTGTACGTGCCGAATAGGATGAAGGGCAGCAGCTGGCGGTAGTGGCCGATGCAGAAACACAGCACCACCGTCAGCAGCACGAAGAGGGATGGCAGCCACTGAGGGCGAAGTGAGGGGAGGGTGGGAAAGCGAGGGATTGTAAAAGACAAGAAAAAGGAGGGGAATCCATTTAAGAACACGTCTGTAATGCCACCTCAATTCGTTTTGCAAACTAAGTGTTTCGAACACAGCAATCATCAACATCAACGCTTGCGCTCGTGCTCTTGCATTTCACGGGCACATGAACAGGCAAAACTGAGATCCAGCAGAGAGACAAATGAAGCCAGAGCTATAATGCACGTACACTGTTTTGCCCTTATACCCTTGCGACACCCAGCTATTATTTACGACTATGAGTGTGGGCGGAGCACGAGTGTACGGAGCTCAGATCCTTGCCTCTCTGGCATACAGCACCAGCCACACCCCACGACGACTCCCATGACCCCTCACTTGCCACCTGCACTGTGCCACTGGCACGTGCAGCATGGGTTGGGGTGCGACACACCTTGGCGCGGAACTTGAGGACGTAGGCGACGGTGATGTCCTGTTCGGGCATGAGCTGCTTGACGCCCACCAGCAGCCCCGCCACCACCCCGTGGAACCCTGAGATCGGCTCGTACCTGCGCACAGCAGTGGGGGGGGAGGTGGAGAGAGGGGTGAAGCGAGGGGAAGGCATGTGCGTGTGTGTGGAATGGCAAGCCACAAGTGGGAATGCAGAGGTGTTTTGCCGCCACCAGATTATGAACACCTGGCGAGCAGTCAATGAACACCTGGCGAGCAGTCAATGAACACCTGGCGAGCAGTCAATGAACACCTGGCGAGCAGTCAATGAACACCTGGCGAGCAGTCAATGAACACCTGGCGAGCAGTCAATGAACACCTGGCGAGCAGTCAATGAACACCTGGCGAGCAGTCAATGAACACCTGGCGAGCAGTCAATGAACACCTGGCGAGCAGTCAATGAACACCTGGCGAGCAGTCAATGAACACCTGGCGAGCAGTCAATGAACACCTGGCGAGCAGTCAATGAACACCTGGCGAGCAGTCAATGAACACCTGGCGAGCAGTCAATGAACGAGAGGGTTGGGGATGCAATGGGAGGGAGTGCAAGCGCGTGCAAGGTGGACTTCATACGCATATCTCCATTCTCTCCTCTTGTCACTGCACTGCCCCCTCACCACTCCATCCATCCCCTGCACCCTATCGAGACCTGATCTTGCAGCTTCACTGGCGCCATGTTTGGTGTGCACTGCAGACGTCCTGGCCTCAAAGACAGCACAATCCATCCAGCTAATCCGCATGCAACTTGAGCGCTCCCCGCTATCTGTGCCACAACAGGACCATTTCCTCACTTTTTGGACACCTTCCCTACCACAATTCCTGATAGCGACTTGATTACTTGCTGCTCCAATCGCTCATGTGCTGGTTGAGTGTTGTCCCCATGTGCAGCTGTATCGAATCGACACTCCAACACGTCACCGCCCTTGGTTGCTTCCTCCTTCCCGAGACGTGTGCGCCATACACACGGCCTACCACAGTGGTGCAATGGCTTGCTTACGCTCCGTGCTGGAGCACAAATGGCGTCGCAGGCAGTTGCTACATGTCCAACCGCCGCGTGCGATGACATGCGGTGTGTGCAGTGTTTGAGCAGTGACAGGAGCATGAGGCCATTGCAATGGGCTACGGACGTCATACACACTACAGGACAACTTAGCTGTTATTCACCTCTCATGCCATCACACACGGTGCTGCAGCACTCACGGAACAATAGCCCTGGAACGTGAGGCAGTAAGCAGTAACCATTGCTGTTCCGCACCCCTATCAACCCCGGCGTGACTACAAGCGAGAGGGGTTATTCTCAGGCAGTCCTAGACGTTTTTTGTAAGAACTCAAGGGTGCGTCTTACAGGAAGTATCCGCGGAAGGTGATGTAGTAAGCAGAAAGAGACCATGGCGATGAAAGAGCTGTTAGCGCGTATCAGCAACAGGATGGCGGCAAGCAAGAACGGCGATGGGGCTCACAGGAAGTAGCCCTGGAAGGTGAAGTAGTAGGCGGTGACCATGGCGATGAAGGTGCACACGGTGGTCAGCGTGCTCACGATCAGCACGAAGCGCAGGAACTCGCGCGACCCCCACACCGGCTCCAGCACCCGCCCCAGGAACAGCAAAGCCACCACGTCCAGCACTAGCTGCACGGCGGAGGCGGGTGGAGGGGCAAGGGCGGGTGGAGGGGCAAGGGCGGGTGGAGGGGCAACGGCGGGTGGAGGGGTGTGGGACGAGGGGTGAAGCAGTGCGCAGAGCCAACTGGTGCCGCCCACGTGGGAACAAGCTGGCTCTTAACGTTCAGCAGATTCCATCCAGACTCTACTAACAGGATACTGCATTCGCCTTACAGTGAAGAGATGGCGCAGTGTTGGTATCACAATGACAGCACCTTGAGTTTCTCGCAGTGAAGAGGTGGCGCTCAATAGAACGCCCCAGTACCCACTGGGTCAAAACGTGCATGTTATAGCGCTGCGGCAGATGGCCTTCAGCCCTTGCTGTGAGCTGGCAGGCGTTGCACTCACCGTGAAGAGATGGCGCTCGAAGAGGCCCGCTGTGACGAGATTCCACGCGAAGGGGATGGTCCTGCGCGCACGGGGGGGGAGTGGGGGGGTGACGAACTGAGCATGACAGCGAGTGACGGAGGTGGTGACGGTTGGGGGAGGGGGGAAGCCTGCTGAGAGCTTGCACGCGTATGGCATGAGGCTCAAGGGAGGACGCAGGGAGAGGGCCAACATGTGTCAACACAGGAGGGGAATATGTCAAAGGCGTTCACGGCCGTGCAGCTTGCCTGTGCGGGCGGCACTTGCCTGTGCGGGCGGCACTTGCCTGTGCGGGCGGCACTTGCCTGTGCGGGCGGCACTTGCCTGCCGGGCAGCAGCGCGAAGGCGGTGTGCGCGGAGGGCAGCAGCGACACGACGTAGCCCATCAGCAGCACCGCCGCCAGCCCCTTGGACAGCCGCGTGAACCCGCTCAGCGCCGCGCGGCCCTGGGGGGGGGAAGGGTGGGGGGAGAGGGAGGGGAAGTGGGGGGAGAGATATGCGGCGCGGAACGTGGAGGGCGAGAAGAAGGGCGCACGCTGGCCGCTCTCGGGGCCAATCACTGGCTCGATGAGATGTGCGGGATGGCATGCCATGGGAGACGCGGCACGAGACGTGCTGTTTCTTCCACACTCTAATATCACATTCGCCAAAGTGAGTGCGAATGTAACGGGGGACGGTGCAGCGGAGCCAGCGGCATGGCGCTGAACAGGGCCGAGCAGCGGAAGCATGGCGACAACATGAGAGGTCAGCCCGCACAGCGATGAATCGTACCACAGCCAGCAGCGAAAACTGCAGGGCGGGCGAAGAGTGAGCTTACGAGCAGCGCTTGGGGGTTGGGTGCCTGCGCGCTCATTGTGATCCGCAGATGACGCGATGCCGCGATAACACGATAGCACGATGAGATGACGAGGGCACTGTCACGTGAAAGATCTCGTAGTAGTCGTACTCGCGGAAATGCAGGCGAAGTCGCAAACGACGTCCTATTTTCAGCCAGAAACTACGCAAGATCTCAGTGCCTTCAAATATTCGACGCACTATTGTGGAGATAAATCGGTTCGTTATGCGAGCAGAGGGAGTACATGCATAATTGGGGTTAGGTATGCTATATCTCAATGGTGCTGATAGGAGCCTTGATACTGTCTATATAAATGGAGGGACATCCGAGGGGTGAGAGTTGTTATTAGGAGCTGCCTTATCCATCTGGTCACTATATATGGTTATGTAGATCACGTACACCCTGGAAACATAGAGTATAACTAACTATATTTACACATATTCTTTTGCACAGTGGATAATCTGGTTAAAGTTTTTTGTAACATTAGCAGCATCGTGAGGCATCGCATATTGAAGATGCTTGAACCAGAATTGGATTCTTCACCACTCCACCATCCTGCACTCCACCCAGCCACCATCCATCACGCCACCCATTTCATCCATTCACCACCGTGCCATCCCTCGCTGCTCTCCCACCGTCCTCCGCTATGCGCGCTCTCCTGCTTCTCCGCGGCCTCGCAGAGCGTCGCTGCGCGGCGGACAGGCTGCGCGTGATCGCCACGCACCTTGCCCCCGCGCCGCTCACCTCGCCCCTCGCCGGCCGCGCCGACGACGTCGATCGCGCGGACGCCGCCGGACGGGCGGGCGCGTCGTCGTCGCGGCGGTATTTGGTGACCGCTGGCGCGGCCGCCCTCGCCGCTTCCGCTGCGGCCTCGTCGTTCGCCGCTGCTGGCGCGGAGGTAAGGCGAGGGGCGCAGCAGAACGGTTAGTGGAGGGCACGGAGGCGCGCAGCGGGTGACCGGCGATGAGATCAGGATTTGATCTCCCTCTTTTCCTGCCTGCCTGTCTGCCTGCCTCATCCCGTCCCGCCCCTCTCACCCCCCCATCCCGCCCCTCTCACCCCCCATCCCGCCCCTATCGCCCTGCCAGGGCTCGTCGGGCGCGGCGCACTGCGAGGCGGCGCCCAAGGCAGGCAAGTCATCTCCGCCCTGCCACCCGCCTCCGCCCTGCCACCCGCCTCCGCCCTGCCACCCGCCTCCGCCCTGCCACCCGCCTCCGCCCTGCCACCCGCCTCCGCCCTGCCACCCGCCTCCGCCCTGCCACCCGCCTCCGCCCTGCCACCCGCCTCCGCCCTGCCACCCGCCTCCGTCCTGCCACCCGCCTCCGCCCTGCCACCCGCCTCCGCCCTGCCACCCGCCTCCGCCCTGCCACCCGCCTCCGCCCTGCCACCCGCCTCCGCCCTGCCACCCGCCTCCGCCCTGCCACCCGCCTCCCCCCTGCCATTCGCCTCCGCCCTGCCACTCGCCTCCGCCCTGCCACCCCTGCCTCCGCTGCTTGTGTGGTGTTGAAGGTGACTAAGTACATGCTTCTAGGATCATGCACCATCGCCAATTGCCAACTCGGATCCCACGTGCCTGTTGGAGCGTCTCCCTTCCCTCTCTCCTCTGTGCAGCACTGAACCCACAGCAGTTCGTGGCGTTCAGGGTGCAGCAGGTGCAGGACATCAGCCACAACACCAAGATATTCCGGTGCGTCTCTTCATGTGTGCCTCGCTGCTGCGGATGTACACAACTCAGGCATGGCAAGGACGTTCTCTCTCACTGCTCCACCTCTCCTTTGTCCTTCTGCCCCTCCATTGCCTTGCCAACCCCCCCTTTATCACACATTCCCTCTCTGCTCTTCCCGCATATACCCTCTTTGGCCTTCCCTCCCTCCTTGCTCCCTCCTCCTCGTCCCACTCCCTCCCTGCCCCACCAGCTTTGCCCTCGACCCCGACACACGCCTCGGCCTCACAGTGGCGTCATGCCTCGTTACAAGGTCACATACATGCATGCTGCTTGCCTCGTTACAAGGTCACATGCATGTCGAAATAGCAGGCTAAAACGAGAAACAGGAAAGAGAATTTTCACTAGCAGCAGTTGAAATACATATAGGAAACCTTAATTGGGTTGTACTCGCTATAGAGTACCCCACTGCAGGCTAGACAAACATCACATTCTGACACACCCTCATAGTCAAAGTGGGCTACAATCAACACAACAAGCAAGCAGAGCAATAGTTCACAAGGATAACCAAAACTAGAGGCTATCACAGAGGGCAAGTGAGGAGGAGGAGAAACTGTGGGGGCGAGAAGATGCGAGACGACGGCTGAAGCTGCAGAAACACGGGCAACAGGAGTGCGCAGCACTGTCGCTACCAGGCTCAACTTGGACTACACGGCGACAGATGCACCTGGCTCACTGTGCTCCCAGGAGTGCTCACACTGTAGCTACCGGGCGCAGAGCCCCGGACTACTCAGGCCACAGAGGGTTGTGGCTCTTTGGACTACCAAGAGTGCTCACACTGTGGCTACCGGGCGCAGAGCTCCGGACTACTCAGGCCATAGGGGGTTGTGGCTCTCTGGACTTCTGGCGCTGCGGACGACAAGTCGGCTACCTCCGGTCAACCTCCCCCAACTGTCCCACACCCCATTCACACACTCCCTGCTGAACCACTAGCACCGCTCACACACCACCCCCCTCGTACCACTCCGACGGCTCCAACACATCCACCCCCCTCAGCGGCAGCTGCAGCAGTGGGAGACGGAGGAGGAGGAGGAGGATCAGGGGAAGGCTCACACACCCGGCACCCCCATACTCTCCACCCCCAAACCCTAACACAAGAGCGCGGGCAGCAGCGGGGGTGGGGCGCGGTCAGAAGCTCGAGACCAACCGCACGCGGGCTGCCCGGGCCGCGCGCGGGCCTAGCGCAGCCCATACAGGCCGCGCGCGGGCCTGGCGCAGCCCGTACGGGCCGCGCGCGGGCCTGGCGCAGCCCGTACGGGTCGCGCGCGGGCCTAGCGCAGGTCGCGCGGGCCGCGTCGGGCGACGAGGGGCGACGCGACGGTCGACAGGGGGCGACGCGCGGTTCGACGGAGCAAAAAACCGCCGCGCGCTCGGGGCGCGCGGCGGGATGAAAAATATGCCGTGCACCCGGGTGCGCGGCAAGTAGAACACGTCGCGCGCCCGGAGCGCGCGATAGGCAGGACAGCAGCGGAAGCATTAGGTGGCGGGCCTATCCACAGGATCGACCCAGGAGGGTCGCCCTGCTGTGATAGCATGTTAGAATCTAGCAGCAGGAATGATTGAACTATGAAAAAGTTGGGTACTTTAAAAAAGGCTGTACCCCATGTTGGCTACCCCACTACAGTCTAAACATATATACCAGATATGACATTTGACACACCCCCATAAACAAAGTGGGGGAGAGCAAGGGGTCACAAGACCAGTCAAGAAAACCAAAGCAAGCTTAGGGTGGATCGCAACGCCACCACACACACTGAGCACAAGCAAAGGGCCACAAGGCCAGTTCACATGCAGAGGTATATATGCAACAACAACAGTACAGTGATCTCTACTTAGCAGAGCAAGCATGCAGGTGTATATATATAGATCACAGTACAAGCAAAGTCTACAGCAAGTGAGGCAAAGTAAGCACAAGGCCTAACAAAGTGCAGAAACGATGATGATCACGAGACGGAAGTGCCTTGGTGAATATATCAGCAATGTTGGCCCGAGTGGCCACGTGAGCAAGACGAAGCTGACCACGCCGCTGCAACTCTCGAGCCAGGAAGTAACGCAGAGCGATCTGCTTTGTTCTGTGCTCCACTCTGTGCTCCTCACACAAGGCAATGGCGGTCTTGTTGTTGACGTACAGCACTGGAAGAGAACGAGGCCGCTCTCCCAAGTCGGTCAGCAGGTAGGTGAGCCAGCGTAATTCCTGTGCAGCCATGGCTGTGGCGTAGATTTCAGCCTCACAACTGGAGCTGAAAACAGAAGACGAGCGTGTAGAACGCCAAGAGACTGAACCAGAGCCAAGGCTGAAGGTGTAACCCTGTGACGACCGCTGCGTAGCCTGGTCGTCAACCCAAGAAGCGTCTGAGTGCCCAGTGAGGACAACGTCGCTCCGTCCTCCAAGCACGAGCCCCATGCCCGATGTACCGCACAAGTAGCGCAGTACCCTCTTCGCAGCATCCATGTGCACCTTTCGGTGCCGACCAGGAGCCACGTAGTGAGCCAGAAGGCCAAGAGGGTACGCAAGGTCAGGTCGAGTGCAAGTCATCAGGTACGTGAGGCAGCCCACTAGCTCTGGGGTACGGGCAGAGGCTGCGCGCGGGTGACGAGGGCCTGCAGGGGCAGCGCGCCGGCCTGACAGGCCTGCAGGAGCGGCTCGCGGGCCTGACGGGCCTGCAGGTGGCGGCTTGGGGGGCTGGCGGGCCTGCAGGAGCGGCTCGCGGGCCTGAGTGACCTGCAGGTGGCGGCTCGGGGGGCTGACAGGCCTGCAGGAGCGGCTCGGGGGCCTGACAGACCTGCAGAGGCGGCTTAGGGGGCTGACGGGCCTGCAGGGGCGGCTCGTGGCGAGGGCTGCAGGACGGCGCGCGCAGCTCAGCACGTCACTAGGCAAGGCAGGCAGGCATAGGACAACACGTGGGGTAGCACGGTAACCGCAACGGTAGGTGGGCCCGAAAAAAAACGGTCCTACGGGCCCAGTGCTCTGATACCATGTCGAAATAGCAAGCTAAAACGAGAAACAGGAAAGAGAATTTTCACTAGCAGCAGTTGAGATACATATAGGAAACCCTAATTGGGTTGTACTCGCTATAAAGTACCCCACTGCAGGCTAGACAAACATCACATTTTGACAATGTATGCATGCTGTTTGCCTCGTTACAAGGTCACATGCATGCATGCTGTACTGCTTGCCCGTTACAAAGTCACATGCATGCATGCTGCTTGCCTCGTTACAAGGTCACATGCATGTATGCTGCTTGCCTCGTTACAAGGTCACATGCATGTATGCTGCTTGCCTCGTTACAAGGTCACATGCATGCATGCTGCTTGCCTCGTTACAAGGTGACATGCATGCATGCTGCTTGCCTCGTTACTAGGTGACATGCATGCATGCTGCTTGCCTCGTTACAAAGTGACATGCATGCATGCTGCTTGCCTCATTACAAGGTCACATGCATGCATGCTGCTTGCCCGTTACAGGGTCACATGCATGCATGCTGCTTGCCTCGTTACAAGGTGACATGCATGCATGCTGCTTGCCTCGTTACAAGGTGACATGCATGCATGCTGCTTGCCTCGTTACAAGGTGACATGCATGCATGCTGCTTGCCTCGTTACAAGGTCACATGCGTGCATGCTGCTTGCCTCGTTACAAGGTGACATGCATGCATGCTGCTTGCCCGTTACAAGGTCACATGCATGCATGCTGCTTGCCTCGTTACTAGGTGGCATGCATGCATGCTGCTTGCCTCGTTACAAGGTCACATGCATGCATGCTGCTTGCCTCGTTACAAGGTCACATGCATGCATTCTGCTTGCCTCGTTACTAGGTGACATGCATGCATGCTGCTTGCCTCGTTACAAAGTGACATGCATGCATGGTGCTTGCCTCGTTACAAGGTCACATGCATGCATGCTGCTTGCCTCGTTACAGGGTCACATGCATGCATGCTGCTTGCCTCGTTACAAGGTGACATGCATGCATGCTGCTTGCCTCGTTACAAGGTGACATGCATGCATGCTGCTTGCCTCGTTACAAGGTGACATGCATGCATGCTGCTTGCCTCGTTACAAGGTCACATGCGTGCATGCTGCTTGCCTCAATACAAGGTGACATGCATGCATGCTGCTTGCCCGTTACAAGGTCACATGCATGCATGCTGCTTGCCTCGTTACTAGGTGATATGCATGCATGCTGCCTGCCTCGTTACAAGGTCACATGCATGCATGCTACTTGCCTCGTTACAAGGTCACATGCATGCATGCTGCTTGCCTCGTTACAAGGTCACATGCATGCATGCTGCTTGCCCGTTACAAGGTGACATGCATGCATGCTGCTTGCCTCGTTACAAGGTCACATGCATGCATGCTGCTTGCCTCGTTACAAGGTCACATGCATGCATGCTGCTTGCCCGTTACAAGGTGACATACATGCATGCTGCTTGCCTCGTTACAAGGTGACATGCATGCATGCTGCTTGCCTCGTTACAAAGTGACATGCATGCATGCTGCTTGCCTCGTTACAAGGTGGCATGCATGCATGCTGCTTGCCTCGTTACAAGGTGACATGCATGCATGCTGCTTGCCTCGTTACAAGATGGCATGCATGCATGCTGCTCGCCTCGTTACAAGGTGGCATGCATGCATGCTGCTTGCGTCGTTACAAGTTTACATGCATGCATGCTGCTTGCCTCGTTACGAGTTGGCATGCATACATGCTGCATGCCTTGTTACGAGGTGATTTGATGAACAGAGTTCAAGTAGATTCGAGTAAGCTGCGTTTGTACTCCTGGCGCTGTTGTGTCTCCACCAAGTGAATATCTGCCTGTCATGCTCGTGCGGCATACTCACTTACTGCAATTCTTCTTTTGCAGGGCGCCCATCGGACCACCTGGGGACGACGGGAAGCCCAAAGCAGTCATTCGACCGTGAGACACCTTCCACTCCCCTCCACTCCCCTTCACTCCCCTCCACTCCCCTCTACTCCCCTCCACTCCCTTCCACTCCCCTCCACTCCCCTCCACTCCCCTCCACTCCCTTCCACTCCCCTCCACTCCCCTCCACTACCTTCCACTCCCCTCCACTCCC